GTTAAACATGTCTTATGAGGCCAGTCTTTTGTATAAGGTAACGAGACCACTGTAAATTCTTTAGTCTATAATTAGAGTAAAGAATGGGGTCTTTCAGTGATTTTACTTATGTCATGGTGTTCTTTCAATAAAAATATTCCAAATTTGATACAAGGAGCTGTAAAAGTATTTTCGGATTTGCTTCGCACAAAAGTGAAATTTTAATTAAATTTTGAACAATTCAGTCCCATATTTTGTTGCTTTTCATTAATAAATATTGGAAAGAGCTAGAAAATTATATAGTTTAGTGTAATTGCAACGTTTGTCTGGCAGCCCGAGTGTTTTTACTGTAAATATTCTTAACTAACATCCACCTTAGCATCGTGGACTCGATCTTTACTTGGGCAACAATCATATTTCCTTATATGACCCCAGTACTGGTGCATTCCAGGAAGCGAAGAAAATACACAATTAAGGTAAAAAATAGATTCAGGCTTTTGCCACACTAATTTACTTATACATGTGTATATATTTTCTATTCTAAATCATGCAGTTTTCCTAAATATCTGAACTAACACCAGCTTTTTTATTTTTCCAAATTAGAAATTCTAGCGATATTTTTTTTCTAAGGTCTCAGAAAAACACCGATATAATATGTCAATAATAGCCCTATCATACAGTTTACCCTATTGACCAAAAAGATCACAACAGTTATACATGTTTAGCCAAGAGATTCTCGATAAAAAATATTAGCTTTGTACACAGTATGTGACTGTCTGCCAATGGGATCAAAAACAAGCGTGAAAAACTGCAAGTATAAATGTAAGTGTAAATATTTTGTATGTTGACAAATATGTCATTGCCATGTAGACGTACATTTTATGTTGAGAAATAAATCTATCTGTAACTGGAATAAGAAATGGCTTTTCTTGAATTTCATGATCTAAAACATTTTCACAATTTTTAACAGAAAGGAATTTTGTCGCCTTTAAGTCAAATTTTGAATCTAAATTTTAGTATAAATGTATGTCTCCGAAAACAATTTTACAATATGCTCTACATAACATGATGATAATTATGATGATAATGATTATAAAAAATAATGATTATATAGGAAATAAGAAAATAAAAATGATGAAGATGATCGACGACGAAAATGATAATTATTATAAAAATGCCAATGAAAGAAGATGATAATAATGATTACGATGGTGGTGATAATTTATAACAATCAAATCATGATGACGAAGATGATGATGAGTGGTGATTATTTATATCAATCAAATCATGATGACGAAGATGATGATGATGGTGGTGGTGATGATAATGATGATGATGATGATGATGATTGTAATGATAAGAATGATAACAATGATGAAAATGATTATCATTTTAATAGCAATATGATGACAAAATAAGTTAGCAACAATATATAAAATATATATTACATCATGTTTTATGTATAAAAGAAAGTTAATGCCTTGAGGTTATTCCCTTGATCGCGTGTCCTCTAGAAGAATAATAAAATATAAATATAAAAGTGTTTTGTCTTTTATTGCTAAATCATTGTATAATAATTATTATTACAGACATAAAGACATTACATAGTCTAGGGAAATAATGTAAGTGAATGACCAGAAGTTTAATGCGTCTTGTATTTTATAGGTTAATAGACTATTAGGTTATTTAAAAGTGATCAAAATGTTTGCGGACAAAATAATGCAAACATAATTATGAGACATATTTTCAAGAAGTTGACAATCTTGAGGAGAGTATTCATAATTAAAAAGGGGTATAATATACACGTGTAGCTAAAAAATCTAGCATATTAATTATATGACATAGCTTAGCTCAAATGAAGCTCAAGAAACAAATTTTTATTTCAATACGCATTTCTACAACATTTCCGTTATTTTTGCTTGATTAAAATAGGTTTGTTTCAATATGAACCGAAAATTCTAAATACACAATGTTAAGTATTTTCAAAATCACCAGGAGTAATTTATTTCCTTTATCTTTTGACCTTACGAAGCGGCGTATAATATTTTGGTCGGGTTGAAAATATTCTGTCAAATGTGAATGTACTGCAAAAATGATGATATTATCTTTACGTTATGCTTTAAATCGACAGCAGTTACCAAAGTCCACCAATAAAGCAATTTTTGTCGTGTATACATTCGCTAACAACAATAAACGAGCTTGGCATTTTATCAGAATATATGGGTTGTGAAATGAATCATTATACTGTTTAACTGGCAATTTGTTTTGCCAGGGAGACAACAATTGCCGGTAACATTGACAAGTGACATTCTATATGTATGATGAAAACTTATATTACTCTTGGCGTATCCGTTAAATGTCACGCATTATAGCTATCCGAATAGTATGTCACTTTCTGTCTCCACCTATTTCCTGCGGAGACATCTCTGTTTTGACAGTGGTACTAAAAGAATAAATCGTTGCTGGTAAGAGGTTATTTTTTACAGCAAGGATGAAACATAATACATTTCTTTTTATATAAGTATTTCATTGATATACATTACGTATTTGACGATAAAATTAAGAAAGAGACAAATCAACTGATTCAAGGTAATAAAAAGAAAACAAAAGTAAGAGACATTCAAACTGCACAAAACATCTGAACAAAAGACAGAAATAGAGCAAAAGACAACTAAAATGAAGGGAAAACAACAAAATAAAAACATATAAAAATAAATGAATTAAAAAGAATAGATAAAAAATAAGTAGATAGATAAATGAATAAATAAAGAAAGAAAGAAAGAAAGAAAGAAAGAAAGAAAGAAAGAAAGAAAGAAAGAAAGGAAGAAAGAAAGAAAGAAAGAAAAAGAAAGAAAGAAAGAAAGAAAGAAAAAAAGAAAGAAAGAAAGAAAAAATGAAAGAAAGAAATACAAAAACATAAATAAATAAATTAAAACAACAACAACAACAACAAAGAAACAACAACCAAAGGCAAGAAACTGAACATAAGTCAATAAACTATACCAAAGATAGCTATCAAACAAAACTGAACCAAATATTCTGAATAAATAAGCTAGTAGGTGTCTATAGTTAATTTTATTGACACGCATTCATTACTTTATATGGAATGGTCATCTAATTAGATATAATTAAATACTAATAGTGAAAACAGATGAGACATTTTTTTGATATTTGGTATAATACTTCCGATTTGTAGTCGGAATTGATTTGAGCCGTGTCACGACAAAACCAACATAGTGGGTTTGCGACCAGCCTGCGCATCCGCGCAATCTGATCAGGATCCATGCTGTTCGCTATCAGTTTCTCTACTTGTAATAGAGTTGGTAAGCGAACAGCATGGATCCTGACACGGCTCATATAATATCATTGGTGGTAATGACAGTGTAAACAGTGTAAAAAAATAGTGGCCTTTCAAAAAAAAAAAAGATTATTTAAATTTGGCAATATGTTAAATTGTTCAAATGGTTGTTGTTCCTGTTTACAATTACTTTTATGACTGATTTTTTATCTGCTTTGCATAGTATTTAATATGCGTATGTTAATATTTTTCCCCATGTCTTTTTCATCCGTGAACAATTTAAATTCTTGTTGTATTGGTCTAAAATCAACTTGACTTCGATTAAATCAAATAATAACCTGAAATCAAGTAATATATTTATATAGTAGTATTTATTTTTAATATTCATTTTATACAACCTATCGAATGCATTGTTAATAGAGGAAATTTATACTGTGGGCACTGGCAATCGAGATTTGAAATTGTGAAATTTGTAAACAAATTTCAATGTACTAAATCTAATGGTATTTCCAAAGACTGAATAAAAAATAATAAAACCAATTTTTTATGAGCAATAAAATAAAATAAATAAATTAAAATAAATAAAAGAATAAATAAAGATGGAGGCTACATTTACATAATTATGGTATAATTGAAATTCAGTAGTTAAAAACTGTCACCATTAATTATATATAATTATATATATAGGCAAATAAAGCTTCTGTTATCTTGTACTGTACATGTACATTATTTATAAACATTTTATGTATTTGAATGAACAATATTGTGAATGTATCAAAATCATTTTACCTACTGCACGTGCGTGTTCATTATCGTTTATATTTAAATGTTGAACAAGTTATGGCCTTAGTGCGGGAAAATGATGAATGACCTTTTTGTACATTATTTAATGAAGCCCTTTTTAAATTTAGAATCTTTCCCACTTTTAAATTTTTCGAAGCATTTCTATAAAAGAAAATCAAAAATCAATAAGGGGCCCCAATTTTAACCGTACTGTATATTACCTTCCCAAAAAATCTAAAAAAGGGGCCAATTTATTTTTTGGGTGCTTTTAACTTTTGGGAGTCAGTTTGAGAATTGGTCGTTTTTAAGGTTTGAATGTTTTTCCCCTTTTTTGAAAGTCTCTAGGAAAAGCATTAGTTTTTTGACATTTTGGGCCGGAAATTTCCTCCGTGAAAGCTTTGTGGTATTTTTAAATTTGCAAAACAGCAAAAAACTGGCACCATATTTATTTTTTTTACCGGAATATAAATTTTAAAAAATACTTAAGTAACAGAAATATCTTGCACGGGGGATATTAATTTTTTACAAAAAGCAGGTCAATTTATGAATCGAGAGATTCTTTAAAAATGAATAGGCTTTTAATCCTTTATCTTGAACATATACACTTTAATCAATAATATATTTAAAGTGTTGTTTACTCTTTTTCTGGGTGCTTCTGGGGGGAAATCAATTGATTCCAGGCACTTTTTAAGTTTTGAAAATTGAAAAAACCCTCAATCCTGTGCTAGAGGGCATGAGGAATGTTGCACTTGTTCATTATCTTTTATGTACAGACTCAATCAAACTATGTTTGCAATTATTTTTACATTATTATCTCACTATTTATGAAATGATGGGCCTTCCATTGTGGATCAGTTCCCTTTAATAACTTTCAATCTGAGTATTAGCTGTATCATTCTATTAATGGTTAAGATGATTGTTTTCTTCTTTTCACAGATAACAGTTCAGGTACGACCACGCCGGCATCACTCGGGGGTCTCCGTGAATTCACGTATAGTTTCCAATCAACACCTATCATAAGCACCGATGGCCTGCCCTCCCCAATGCCACCTGGTAATAGGCAACGTCGTGCATCAATGCAAGACGCTATAGATTTCCGGAAAATAGATTCAAAACTTTACGATAGAAGGGTATGTAAGATAATTAACACTAAGACTTAAAAAGTAAAACATGACAAAGGGTACATTAGTATGATATCGAAACATATTTATTAAAACTTTATTCACGTCCAAAAAGAAAAAAGGAAACATCACGTTCTTTATTTAATTTGTTTGGAGGTACACTCGGACCTTATTAACCTAGTTAATTAAACAGATACAATTCACCGCAGGTATCCCATCCTCTATTCAAAGAAAAAAATATTTTTAATCACAAACATTTTGTTCACACCCTTAGTCTTTTATTACAAAATAAATAATTGAGGCCGATACGCCAGGCCATAAAAGTTAAGACACTCTTCCTTTATTTTCAATAATACGTAAAAGTGTCACAGTGCACGTGACATTGCGTGACCAAAGAACTGGACATAATTTGGAACATTCTCATTAGGATTTCCGTGAATTAGAGTAATTAAGTAGGGCTTTGACAATAAAAATCAAGATGTGACATTTACTTCTTTTGCTAATTACTAAGTGAAAGCAATTTAAGACTTATAAAGTATAGAACCATTTGTCAACTACCGTTATTTAATTTAGATCACGATGACTGATCCTGGTGAACTGTGTTTGATTAGGCTAATATATTGTCTATCATACTACATACTAATTGCTATCCTTTTTTTTATTACAGTCGTTACAAAGACAACAGTCTGTCGCAAGCATCGAGGAGGATCCTCTTGGAAGTATTAACTTTAGTATCGAATTTAACTACAAAACAAGCTTGCTCACTGTGTACCTTGTTGAAGCAGAAAATCTTGTATCACGTGACTTTAGTGGAACTTCTGATCCATATTGTAAAGTATGCGTTCTTCCCGACAGACGAAATCAGTAAAAAAGCAAAGTTCATAGAAAAACTACGAATCCTGTTTTTGACGAAGAATTTATTTTTGAAATTGATCCAGATATTTAACATACCATGACTCTCGAATTGCTCATTTTTGACTATGACCAGATTTCGCGACATGACTGCATTGGACAAGTTAAATTGCCCCTAGATAATGTGGATTTTTCTCAGCGACAAACGTACTGGAAACCTATTGCCAAAAGGGAACAAAAAGGAATATCAACGGTAGGCATCATCTTTATGAATTTCTTTTAAAGGACTTCCACTGAGGTCGTAAAGCCTAGAAACATAAATTTGAATTTTAACATAGATCAGCCGGGCCACTTGAAACAGAAAGATTTATTAAAATGATTAAAGAATAAACTAAACATTGCATTTTTGACCCATTCTCGACCCATTTTGGGTGAAAAGCGTTGTAACCTTTTTCAAGTTATGTCATTTTTTCACTTAGAAAGAACTATATTCCCTGGAAAAAACGGGATCTGAAAATTTGCACACAAGTTTATTGGTTTTTAAATTAATAATTAAAAAAACGGAAAAATGATTTGTTCAGAGACCTCATTGGAGTCCTTTAAATCTTAGCCTTACTTATTGGACATAAAATAATGACAAAAATGAACAGTTGAATGTTGAAAACTAGGTCAACTAGTGCACTCAAATGGTAAAATATACAAAAGTTGAGAAAAATGTTAAGTTGTTGTGCCATTCTTAGCTCGATTGCGGTTAAATCTATTTTTTGGGGGGTTATTTTGCACAATACAAATGATAATTCTTGATAGAAAGTGTGATAGAATAATCTGCAATTTTGCAAATTAGATTTCACTGCAGTCCTACGTTAAATGTAAAAATGATACAAGAATTTGAAACATATTTCCAGTCCTTTCGTGTCAAAAAACTTACATGGAATCCATAGCTTTTATATGACAAAGTTTTAAAAGTGCCTTTAAACTTTGATTCTTACCGATAAGAAAATCTTCAAGATAAACCCCAATGTGTTTTTGATGATGTAATATATATCTTTTTTTAAAACTCAGATTCTTACTGACGCTTCAGTATATTGCGTAGCGTAGAGTATCTGAGCATAAAAAAAACACGAAGGTTTTAATGTCATGTCTGCATACTTTAAGTTAACATATCTTGTAAAAGATATCCTTGTTTTAGTCTCTTTAATATCTCTGTCCTTGTTGCTTTTTTTGTTGAAAATCTGACCTCGTTGTCGTTCACTGTATATTTTCTATGTTATCCTTTAAAAAATGATCATATCAAAATAATTTGCTTTTTCTTCAGAATGGTGACCTAATATTTTCTCTAGGCTACTTGTCTAGTGCTGAAAGATTAACAGTTGTGGTAATGAAAGCCCAGAAACTTACGACACACTGAAGAAGGCAAAATAACAATGGGTAGGTACATACCCTTTAACAAATTCAATATATGAGTATGAATAATACATGTATTGGGCCATTTAAAGATAATTGAATCAGATAAATTCATGTATAAAACGAAAATAGTCATTAACTACAACATTTATTACTTTTTTTGCCATTTAATACAGTCACCTGGTAAGTCGAATTTTTTGTATGAACGTTTTCATGCTTTGCCAATAAAATACTTTTAGTAAAGTAATTACTGTTGGCCTGACATCGTAACTTAATTATCCAATGTCGTCGAAAAATAAACTCAATTTTCCTAAAAAAGCAACAAGAGCTCCGGGCCAGACGTATTGTCACTCAGTAATGAGCTTTGTGACAATATTTCTCTGCTAAAACGATATACGGAATGCCAATGTCAATAAATGTAGAAGATTGTTTCTTAATAATATACCTTTTTAGTTATCTTTCGTCTTAATATTTTGCTGATGGGGTTGTAATATATTATCTGTTATAAAGATGACCGACTGGTTATATTATTTGTTATATAAAGATTTTTTACAGGTTATAGGGCCTTATATAAACGGTTGTTTGGAAATATAATCAGAGGCGAGGATTATATTGCAAACAACCGTTTATATACAGCCAAATAAGCTATCAGGAATATTTAAAACAAATTTATAATACAACAAGCATCAATTTTAGAGCAAAAAGTAATATTTTTATATATCGACAGCAGCCGTGTTTATTATTAGCTATAAAGAATTTTGACAGGTTTTATGGCTCAATATTATATTGCAAAAAATAACGTTTATATACGGACATATAAACTGTCAGCAATATTAATAACGAGTTTATAATGCTGAAAACTCTCTTTTTTAGATTAAAAACAGGATTTTTTCCTAAATTGATAGCAGCCGTGTATACAGTCCGTTTAATCGTCACGAATATCCAATGAAAAGCGACGTTACAAACTTACAGTTTTATAACATTCGGTATATAAGGTGGCAGCTTTTATAGTCAAAACTAATTATATGCGATGATAATATTGCAAATTACCACTTATACAGCGCCATAAAACATGCCAGTTATCTTTGTCACGAATTTATAATACAGCAGAACCATACTGTTTTACGACAAACGATAACAACATCATTAACTTACAACAGGCGTGCTTGTACATTACATAAGTTTCGATTTTCCATGAACAACTACTATACAAACGTGCAGTATATATTATAATGAATTTTTATATAACTTACCAATTTCTTCATGTTGCGATAAACGTTCAATAGGACGTGATATTAACCGGTGATTTTCATCTGTCCGATTCAACACCGCATAATACTTTCTACTTAGCTCCCTCTTCTCAAAAGGCGCCTGCTAAATTTAAACCTTTTCTTATTTAGAAAAACAATCGGGTTAATGGCACTAACAATAATAAAGTACTAGGAATCCGACCCTAAACCCCTTCCTCAAAACTTAAACTACTCAATTTGCCATCTGTAATAAAATACGCGCGATGACATAAAACTTTTAACGCGCTTTGTATATAAACAAAACAAACCTTGTTTTTTTAACTTGAACAGAGAATAATGATACAAAATGATAACAAATTTTAAAATCATATGCAGAATGTTTACTATTACAAACCTTGGTATAAACATTATAATTACTTGGGTTTTGAAATACAAAGTCAAAATATTGGCAAAATCTAAGGGATTCGGCTATTTGGGAAACCTTTCACCTTATCATCATGCAATGATTTTTCGAGTATTAATAATAAGTAGCGACTAGGAAAGCACGATAATTGTTTTAAAAAAAGAAACGGCATACGAACGTGTGCGTACAAGAGATATTTCTTGAAATATAACTCTGTTCTATAATGTTACATATTTTAACTACCTTTCTTTGTATAAGTTACAATGATATAAACATTTTCAGATCCCTACGTAAAAGTTTTGCTCAGTTTTGGTAACGGCAAGAAATCAAAAAAGAAGAAGACATCAACGAAGCACAATGTACTCACGCCCGTGTGGAACGAGGCGTTAACCTTTAATCTGCCAAAAGACTTCTTGAACTCTGTTTCTCTGGAGTTCCATGTATGTCATGACAATAAAATGGGAAATGATGAAATTCTAGGACGAACAAAGATCTCGAAAGATTCAAATGGGGATGAAAGATTTCACTGGGATGAAATGGTGAACTGCAGAAGTGCAATTGCCAGATGGCATACCCTCACGTCGAAGTGATGATTTCACAATTCAAGCTAATCTTGTGAAAAATCAAACTTGTTTCTTTGAGGTCAGCTGGAGATCTTAATTTTATTTATCCAAATTGGATGAGAGACATCGATATATCTGTTTTGTTATTGTTTAACAGCGTTGAAGCACCCGAATTATATATTGATGAGTATTTACACAATTTTTTCAGGAAAGGGAAACAGTTATGGTCACGTGATACAGAACTCATATTGTAACAATCTCTGTTATACCTTTTATACCAGTCGATTATATTTTGTTCATTACCTGTCTTTTCCCGCTTGTTAAATTAAAGTCCTAATTTCCCAAGTTTGTTACAAAAAACATCAGTTTTGTGTAAACGTTTCTGTAGTCATCGATGTATTTATATGACTTTGTAATCAAACATATTGTTGTTAATGGAAACAAATAAAGTGATATAGAAAATGAACTTTTATGTTTTTCACGCAATGTATGGAATGAAATGTGGACCTAATTTACTATTACCTTTTAAAATATAAGAATAAGATATATCCTTATCAGAGCGCAAATTTTTTTTTATTGTTACAATAAAAAAAAGTTATTTTTTTAAAAGGGAGCCTACAACACCTCGGGAAAAATAAAAGGGAAAATTCCTTTTTTTTTATAAAAAATATATACAATTTTAAAAAATTTACGAAGATGTTTAGCTCTTGAAGGTTTTCTTAATTTCAAAAACCTATTCTGTATTTAAAAATTTTTTTAAAAAAAAAACCCTGTAAAATGTGTTTTTTTTTTGTTTGAAATAGTTGTTTTAAATATACCCAAATTTTTTTCCTTTTGGAACCCAAATTTTGGTTTCATAAATATTTCACCCCCAAATTTCCGTGGGCCCCCCTTATATGATTTTTTTAGGGGGGGTTGGGTTTTGTTTTTATTTTTTTGGTAATTTTAGGAATTTAATGTTTATAATTTAAAAAAATGTTTTTTTTTTCTTAAATTTTCATTAAAAAAGGATTTGGGGTTTTTCTTGGCTTTAAAAAAGTGATAATGATTACGCTAACAGTTAAAGCAGCATGCCACCAGATTTATATGAATATTTATGAAAATGTTGAAGATTAAATTTAAAAAGTAAATATTTTGGAGTGAACAAAGAAAGTCAACAATGTACACATTGCAAACGACTCTTTGCAATCCCCAGTTTAATTTTGGAAAAGAGGTCACAGTATACAAAACAGTCCTTGTTATCTGGTGATAAAAATATAAAATCAGTCATAAATTGCACATATAAATCATCACTTGAATCTTTTTACTTTTTTAACAATCTTCGTACGTTTTCCTGGTTTGATTTGCTTGATATATTTGGTTCATCTCGGGTCATCTGGAAGCATGCTGCTTAAATATATATAATCAAAGAACGAATGTATCCCAATGACATAGGTCGTATCTACCTATATGCAAGTCAGGGAGCAAGATTACATTAAATAAATTTATTAAAACTAGTATTCAAACAATAGCTAATCATAACTTATATTCAAGATTATCTAGTCTTCTGTCTTTAGTGAGTAACGTTTTATTAACTCTAATTAAAAAGCCTTGGTTATCATAAAGATATGCTGTTGTATCATTATTTACAATATTTATAACATATAACGAGCTTGGAAACTGGACAAAATGCGTTTTATAGTCGACGCAGCATTCCTTACAAATTTCATTTTTTACAGTATATAGTCTGATTTTATTGACCTGTCAATAATGAATACATTATAGCACTCATTTAAATATTCGACCCCACTTCGGTTTTGTCCGTTTATTTTACGAGAATTAATATGGAGTATATCACTAACGTTTGGAAAACTCCCACTAACTTAATGAAGGTTCTCGTAACATCCGCAATAGCACAGTCGGTTAAGTGATTGCCTAATGCATGAGAGGTCCGAAGTTCGATCCCTCTTTTGACATTCTTTTTAGACTTATTCTCTCTTTATTTTAGGTATATTTTAAAGAAAATTGTCAAGCGCTTGCAAAATTGTCTACACGGAATGAAACAACTAAGAAACACTGAATTGTTCCATTTTATATTTTATTTTACGGCACTGAAATTACATTTATTGATTATAATCCGAATGAATTTTCAGTATCAATTATATACAAAAATATAGTATTTTACAAAGAGTAACAAAACATATTAAAAACAGAACAACCATAACTTCAAAAATTTTGAAAATAGTTATGAATAAGAAAAAACCCTGGACTTGTGTCTCGATCTTACAACATGTAAGACATTTTGATATTATATACCCGTGGTTTACCCTATTGCGCTATAACGGTCAGTGTAACTAATTTACAGAAACTAGATGAATTTAATCACATCTTACTGCGTACCTCTCACGGAATTTACCGAACATTTATCGAATATTAATATATTCTGTGCATTGACCGTATAATGAGTATGGAATTGACAGGTTAATAAAATCAAACAATACACTATATTGTAGCCGTGTATGCCATTGTCACTGATAATTACGCATGGAGATGTCTTAACTGATATGCACTAAGGCTCAATAAATATTCATTATACTCTTTTATTGACCAGGGCATATCTATTGATATTTTGATAAACTTAGATTAGCATAATTAAGGGCAATACATAATATCACGCACCGATGTAAATAGTTAATTATGTAGTGGAACCATGCGTTGTACCGCGGTTCATTTAAGAACAAAGCATTGCAAATATCCAAATTTTTGCTTTAAATGTTGAAGACTAAATATCATTCACCATGCGCGATTATATTACTTAATATACGAACTATATTATGGAGGAGGAAAATTAGTCGAAGAAGAAACTTACGAAGTTAGAACAGCAAACTATGATGACGTTTACTATATCTGTATCAGGGACGTTGACTAGTCGGGCATGGAATACATACAAACCATTTGGCACCGAATTAAATATTTAAAACAGGAACATAGAATTATTATTTGACCAGCTGCAATAATCGTATAATCTTTTAAGGCTGTATAGAATATGGATTGCGAGATATGACGCATCTCTCATTATATCTTCACATTACTGTTAGTGGGTTGAAGTTTAGATTTTACCCTTATTCTTAATTTGAACTAACTGCACAACGAATGAATATCAGCAGAAATAGTTTCACACAACAACGACATATGTCACCCATAGAGTAAATATTTTCTTCAAACAGTAACAAAAGTATGAATTCAATTAGTATAATAATTAGCAAAGAAATGAAATATTGCATGCACGGAGAGCAGTTGCGACATATCCACGCCATCAACCTTTCACTAACAAATTGGAAAACATCCCCAATTTTCGTTATCATGCAATCACGGTTTTAGCACCAACAATGCAAATAAATCTTGTATGTGGTCATTTGGTATTTAAGTTCCACTGTTATATACTTTGCATCATTTCAAAAGTGTGACTGTTTTTATTCCAAATGAACACCATACATGTATTTACTTATGATTATGGTGATTCTAGATTAAGAGTTTATTCCAACAGCATTTCAATTATTCAGATAACACCTGCGACGTTAACTTATTTACATACGCATCTACAATCAACATTACCAAATTATGTTAAATAGTTTAAGAAAAAAATGTTTTCATAAAACTAGGCTTCCAATTTAATTTTAATTTAAAAATTGCCATTTAGAAATGTAGGAACAAAACTATTTGAAAATACAGTATTCAATATGCTTCTACTAACTTTAAGATAAAGGAGCGGAAAAGGATGCCTTACTATACATATACATGTGTCGGCAGTAAACATGACGTAAAAATAAAAAAAAAAAATGTTATTTTATTTTCCTCTAAATTTATCTAATTTTTCTTAAACAAATTGCATTTTCTTTGACGAGGTGTTCTCTTGTCCTCAATAAAATAAGAGTTTAATACATATAATGTATATAATGAAACATTTCTGTTTTGTCTTAAACATTTTTACTGAATATACTCCAGGGAAATAATGTAAAATGAATGGCATAATATAGAGAATTAAATTATCCAATTATTTAAACAAGAATGTCTTTGTTCTTATTGACTTTGTTTTGTTAAAGGATATCACAATGCTTCTAAATATACCAAAACAATATTTTAACTATCTTTTTATGAGTGATTTTAGATCCTTAAAAAAAAATTTATCTGTTCCATGTCGTCAATGATAATGCCAAAGAAAGTGGGTCCAATTGCCAATACTTCTTAATTTGATTGAATGTGTTACTTAGATATAAATTCAAAGATAAATCCCTCTGATTCTGCGCAAAGTAACACAATAAAATAAATGCTGGCGATTTCGCATGTATAGACAATCGACAATTAACTCTGATTATCAAGATCTTAATACATACAGATATGCTACTTGTATCATTAATAGCGTGAAACGAGCATAGAAAATCGAACCAGTTCAACGCAGCAGTTCAGTACAGTTTCCTGTACTCAATATTAGTTGCAGCCCCGGTGTTTAGTCATTGCCATAGAAATTACACATGGAGATGTCTTAACTGATATGCACTAAGGCCCTCATTAAATATTCACAATACTGTTTAATTGACCAGACTATATTTTAATGTATTTACATAAGCATATTTTGTAAACAAATTGTATGGCAGTTATTATGTGCATAAGCGATGGAAACAGTAAAATATGGCAGCGGATGGTATTCATTTTACCAGCGATTCATTTCGTGGTCAAACCATTGCCAATATCCATATTATTGGTCTAAATATTGAAAACTTAATCATATGCACCATATGCGATTATATTACTTAATATACGAATGGAGAAAGGAAATATGTAGAAAATGAAGACACCCAAAAACCCATGGGTGGAAATTTATTATTTTCTTTTGTTCCCGGGAAACCCCACAGACGGACATTGGGGAAAAATGTACAAAAATTTCGAAATAAACCTCTAAAGTCCACATTGTTTACATGAAAAACTCCAATATCAAAAATTTGAACCAAAATTTTGGGGGCCCCCTTAGGTTTGTCTATAAAAAGTCTTTAAAACTCTCTTTTAAAAATATTGATTAAAGGAAAAAAAAGTGAATGTTTAAGGGG